CCAATGTGTTCCACCAGAAAAAGTGCGGCGATGAAACGACTGTGCACAACAAGATGACCGGAGAGACATTTTGCTTTGGAGGGAAGAACAAAGACGTCGATCCCCTAGAAATCGCCGTCAGACTGACGATGGAGGACCTGAGTATTCTGATGAAAAACGAGGAGGACGAGTACTATCTGTTAGTCTTATAATCCTGTTTCCGCATCCAAGTAGACCGACTAACCGATATAAACAGCGCCGCCAGCGCAAGCCTTTTCCCCGTTGGCTGGACAGTTCAAGACCGCATTGGGTGGACCATCTCCAAGCTTCATAACCCGGTACCACTGTGGCATCAGCAGGTTGCCAATTCAGTCAGCAAGTAAGTACTCTGGATGTTTTGACTGGCAGTAGCGAATTGCAGAAGCAAGGAGAGAGGCTAACATTCTTACTCCAGATTCTTGGCTCGGCTCACACCGGCATCGCCCATGGAAAGATCCAACTACTTCGTCGAAGTGAAGCGGCCCGATGAAGATTTATTTGAGATCCTCTATCGACCAACTTCTCTATCTGAGGAGAATCCGGATCCAACGCCGCAAGATATTGTCATTCGTCGCGAGCGGCAGACTTTCCGTCGACTCCCTCGTACCGGAGCACTCGTCTTTGGTGTCAAGACCATCTTGACAACTCTGGACGAGCTGCCGATGCAGGAACTGCAAAACCTTGCCAAAGAGATTAAGAGCTGGCCGGAGTATGTTGGTGAATACAAGGGAAGAGAGGTCTGGGGCCCCAAGGCTCTGGAATACTGTGAAAAGAAAAGCCGAATGTATCAACAAGACCCTGAAAAGATGATGGTGTAATGGTTGAAGATTAATGAGGTAGGGAAGGAGGGAAGAAGGAGGAGGCGGCGAAAAGGACGCCATCGCATGGGAGGCTTTCTGTTGCATTTTTTGCGTTTTGCATCGCTTCTTGCATTTGGGCCATCAAACGGATGGGCGGCTGTCTGATTTGAAAAGTCTCCGGTCAAAGCATTGTTTCTTTATTGTCTGTATTATTTTGCATTTTCATGATACCGTTGACGATCTGCATGACTTGAGCAATCTTGTTGATATATTATAGTTGTTCGCCTGGGAGACTTCAGACCAGCCCAGAATGCACACGCTTCTATTTTCTTGTGAGAAAGAGCATATTACTTGCCCCCATTTTGAAAAGTATATTATCCAGTAGTACCAATGTTTACAATTGGACTATATGAGATTACATTTCGGGTGCCAGTCATATATGGATGTGCCCCAAGAGACCAACGAAAGAACTCGACGAGTGACTGAAGATGATGGAATATGATCGGTTCGTTGCCGACTATACACTATATGCAATTATCAAATCTATACTATCTAACATGACTTACTCGAGAATACACAAATACGGGTATATCTACTACGACTGGACGTCAACGGCATGTGTCCTCATCGTCAAAGCTTAGACCGAGGTGGCTCGTCTTGTTTGAGGCGCACGACTCCCTATAAAGAAACTCATTAGACATGTCTTTTCAGTAAAAGCACTCATCACACATACCTCTTGGGTGCATGTAGCGATCAATGTTCCATCCTTTGACCAGATTTTCTGCAAAACCAAACCTCGTCCCTCACCGGCCCAAGGACTCTCCATTTCTGTAAGCATCCATTCGTCTGCCCGGAATGCCCAAGGGTTATGGAAGTGGATCGAGTGATCAAGACTGACCATCATGCCCACTTCCTTATGTTCCTGGGGTGGCTGGTTAGTTACTCTGTGCAAAGCGCCCTCCAAGCGACGGCGTAAATCCGCCGTTTCTTCTTCCTTCAGCTCCTTGAGAGCGCGCGCAATATCCTCATCATCCAGGTCAGACGGGTTCTTGAGCGCATTTAGTGCCTTCTTAAGTTCCTCTGGGGAAGAGAACCGAGGAATGTTGTGAACCCTGGACACAGTGCCAATAAAATAACTGTCGGTCATATATGCAAGGGCGGAAAGATGAGCTTGATGGCCACCCGCATCGGAAATCTTGCCCCGTGACCGCATGAATCGTCTCGTTTTCCTCTCCTGAGGAGGGCGGTTTCCTGAGACAGTCAGCATATAACCTCAAGCTCAACCGACACACTATGAAGACTGACGATCTATAACCCCCGCTTTCTGTGATTCGAATGGCCCACCGCCCGATTCCTCGAACCTCCTTTTAGACCCCGGTCCAGGCTCCTCTGGCAGAGTGACAGCTGGCATCGAAGATGCATGCTCGAGCTTCTTCTTGCCGCCACTGTTGGCCTTGTTGAAACTCAGTGTTGTGGTGAAGATGGGGCGACCGCGCTGCTTGGCCTGTACCGTCCGCGTGATATAGCTCCTTCCATCACGTACTCGTTCCACGTGGTACAATATAGGGATTTCGGAGTCACCGGCGAGGAGGAAGTAACAGTGCATGCTATGGACAGCAAAATCGGCGGGAACAGTTCGTAGCGCAGCGGCGAGAGACTGGGCGATGGCAGCACCGCCGTAGATGCCTCGCGCACCAGACGGATGCCAAAGGGGTCGCGTATTGGTGAACACATCCTGTTGAAAGAGAGAAAACCGTTGGACTCGCGAGAACTAAAGAGATGGGAGGGAAAGACATACTTTCCCCACGTCAATCACCGGTGTCAGTTCTAACACATTCTCAACGGGCGCCTTGGTAGGATCCAACGGCGGAGGTTTGAAAAGAGTCGCTGATTCCGCCATATCTAGTACTCTTCCGACTCCGAGGCAAGTAAGGAGTTGAAACACAGGAATATGCACGAAGCAAATGAAGAAGAAAGTCTTGAGATCTGGCGGGGGTTAAGGAGGCCGCCCTCACACGCCGGTTCGGTGGAGCACGGGCTTTCTGATTCAGGCAATAGCCGAGGCATCTCGATTATTCATAATCTCATCGGCATCTCCAGACTTGTTCACGGTTTAACATATATACTGCCATATGACGGAGCAAAGTGTCCCGCAAGTGCATAGGCACCTGATAATTTCTGAGTGTCCTATTGGAAGGATTTTTGGCAGTGGCGTTTTATGTCAACCAGACAGCCGAGGCTTTATTATCGCAAAAGCAATCATTTACTGAGTACGCGTAAGGCGACAAGGCAGACTTTCGGTTTGGAGCCATCCTCAGCTGCACGACTCAATGACTGCTCTGATAGCAAGCCCAATGGTCAAATTACGTATGAATCGCACTCAGTATCCCACAATTTTGTTCAGATGAACCTATGATACAAAAAGCCTATCCCACACCTGGAGATAGAAAAGCAAGCTCAGGAGACTGGACGGCCACCATTTCGATAGAGCCACAATCTGCTCATTTGGTGCATCTTCAACTTCATATTGAGCCCAACTTTCATGTTTTGCGCACTACCGGAGAGTACCGAGTTCACACTAGTGCCATCTACTTCCCCAGTGCCTGCGTCCAACAGCCCCGCTGCATCTAGGATCGTGACAGGCCTATCTTCTTCACACCTATTATGCCGACTTACTATGACATCTGTGTCCATGAAGTCGCCCTCCCGTGGCTCCCGCGTAAACCGGTTGGTTGGGTCAAGTGGGAACATCGTATCAAGATAATGCTGATTGAACTGATGGCCTGAAGCGGGACTAACGAGTACCTTACCCATGAACCGGTTTTCGCGACGGTCCTGGGGCTTACTGTGGTCGAAATTCAGCACCCCAAATCGACATGCGAAATCACGTTTGTTGGCGTAGTGCTCAATGTGTAAGATGCTGCGGTTGTGGATATTTCCAGTGATGTCTCCCGTGCGCACATAGCGCATCGCTGCGTTACACGATGCCGTGTCGCGATATGGGTTGTTGAAGTAATTTGCAAGACAGCCAAAGGTGTAGATTTCCAGTTGTCTGATGAGATCCTGTGGTACTTCATCGAGAAGCCAATCCAGGATCATTCCGCCCTCAATGCCCCCCTGCGAGTGCAGGATTAACACAACCTTTTTTACCTCTGGCCGATACAGTGCTCTTCTAACCAATACGTAGCAGTCTCGAACATCATTTGTCGCGTACAACAAACAACGTTGAATGAGGCACTGGATAATGTCGAATATAACACCAGTTCTAACGACTATCAGACACCCATACATCTGGATAGTTTGAACCTTGACAAAGGATGGGGAAGCATACGTTTTATTGTGGACGCCGACTACTGGACGGTGGAATGTCCGCGATATGCGATCGACGTTATTCTGTAGCCAATTCCTCCTGTTTCGGTCAGACTTGTAAGCACAAGATAGGATGGGAATGAAAACCAACCCAACGCAAATTCCATTGAGGAATATCCAATACTCGTCCTCATGGCGATTCCACCGTCTTGAGAAATCATCCTCTGTCGACCTGAGACCGTCTGCTGGGATACCCCGGTTCAAAGCGTAGCAGATGAGCGTATTCAAGGCGAGAGCGGTCACAATATACAGAACGTAGACACAGAATGGTAGCCAGATGAATAGTGGGAGGGAGACAAGAAAGACGAGCTGGAGGACAAACAGAACACAATGAAGACAGATGTCAAAGATATTGGCTAGAGAAGGGTACAGTTCATCCAGACCCCCACAAGGCCATGGCGTGAGAGGCAAGAAAATGCATGGTAGGTAAAAGATGTTACAGAGGAAGAGCCACAGATCAGCGAGGAACAACAACAAGGGAGAACCCGTATATTTGGGGTAACTGTTGATGTCCTCACCAGATACGGAGCCATAGACTTGACAAGACCCAGCAGACATAGTGACAAGTTGGGTAATAAAGTGGTCAAGTGTAATACATGTGAAAATGATGAGACATGGTCTCCTGAGTTTCGTCGTATGAATAGTTGATTGATGGATGGCGGTAGATATAGTTCCCAAGATATCTCATGTGGCAGCCTAGAACTTGACGCACTCGCCGGGATGACCGATCGGGAACCCCGTGGTTTGCCTGGTTTGACGAATGAACTAATGGCTGGAGGCGCCACGGAATACCTCAAAATGACCAGCCAAGGGCGCCGGATCGTCAAGCTTGAGTCTAATTGACCTAGATCCTCTTCGGCCTGAGGAGCCGAGATTCTCAAGCCACAACATGCCAGATTGTCTGCGGACCGTTACTTTACTTACATCCAGCCACAAAGTCAATTCAGTCTTCCTTTACACACCATTGAACTGGTCGTGTAGCTGTTTGCGGAAACTCTCTTCAGACGACAGAGTTGGTTCAGCCTTGACTATACGATGCGGGCGGGGTCGATTCACGCCCAGAAACTTTTTTTCATATGAACATGACGACTGTTCTATCCCACGACATGTGATGGACTGAAGGCCTACTCGTATCAAAATGGGTGAGCAAGATATCTCATATGCGTGACCGGCCCCATGCTTTTCTGTTACAAATTACTTTGGGAAGCTAAGGCCTGAAATAAGTTTGACAAGGCGCCCTGCTCGACTTCGAATTCATCATATATCTGCCTCCGTAGATACTCGGTCTCAGAACAGAAAATTTTTCAACACAGATAAACCAACCGCAATGCAAGACGGAATTGAAAATGCGGAGCACATAGTGAATGGGATGAACGGAGTGCACGATGGTCCAAATAGGGGCTCACCCTACAATGGAATTCCGTCCAGAGATCCTCAAGCTCACACCGCTAACGGAGCTGAGAGGGGACCACAATCCCAAAGCCGATTCCCCCGTATCTCGATGCCAGTGGAGCTCATGCGAGACTCCTACGATGTGGTGGCCATTGGTTCAGGGTATGGAGGGGGCGTGGCCGCCAGTCGAATGGCCAGAGGAGGACAGAGCGTCTGCGTCCTCGAGCGAGGAAGGGAGAGATGGCCTGGTGAGTTCCCTGAAAAACTGGAGGATGCGGTGGAGGAGCTTCACGTCAGCGGTCAATTCGCTCCCGGCGACAGAAGAAGTATCCCTGGAGCTATGGTTGACGCGGGGAACCCAAATGGCCTATACCACTTCGTGGTAGGCGAAGGCCAGAACGTATATATGGGTAACGGTCTCGGTGGCACCAGCCTTCTGAATGCCAATGTGTTCCTTGAAGCCCATCGCAAAGTGCTGGAAATGGGAGTCTGGCCAGAGGAATTGAGAGGACACGAAGCATGGAAAAAGTGTAAGCATGCACTTTCGTGACCTCCAAATATCGCACAATTCTAGGACCGGGAATTGCTCTCCTTTGGACCCTTTTCTGATGATTTCCAGATTATGACCGCGCAAGGAGCGTTCTGGAACCTGCCAAGTACCCTCCGACATTCCCAAAGCTTCTCAAAGCCGATCTTCTCAGAAGGCAATCGGAGCTCATGAGCTGGGGCGATAAATTCTACAGTGTTCCGCAAACAACTCGGTTTGAGGACGGCCCCAACTCTACGGGAGTCTACATGCAGGCGTCACAGCTGACGGGAATGGATGCGACTGGTGTCAACGACGGCAGCAAGTCTACAACGCTTGTGAACTATCTCAGTGATGCATGGAATTGGGGTGCCGAGATCTTCTGTAATTGCGAGGTCAGATATGTTGCCAAAGCCCCTGATCGTGAAGGATACATCATATACTTCGCGTGGCGCTCCTGTGGACGAGACCGTTTCAGCACTTTCTTTGACGACCTTATGTGGGTGCATGCAAGAAAATTCGTTTTCTTAGGAGCTGGAAGTATCGGAACCACCGAGATCCTGCTCCGCAGCAGACAGATGGGCTTGGACTTGAGCGATGACGTCGGCACTGAGATGAGCGGCAACGGGGATATGTTGGGCTTCGGGCAAGTTCATCGCTGTGCTTTTCATGGACAACGGACTGAGACGCTGTAACAGGTACAATACCGACTATGAAGCTAATTGCTTAGCTCGTCCTGAACCTACGCCTGAGCGACCCGTAGGACCATGCATAACTTCAGTCCTGGATCTGAGGGATCAGGGAAACGTTCTGGATGGGTTCGTGGTAGAAGACTGTGCAGTACCATATGCTCTTGCCCCACTCATGTTCAGCATGTTGGAATACTTGCCAGATATGAGACGTCCCAAGTACAGTCCTGTTGAGAGTGTAGAGAGGTTTGTCGCACGACTGAAAGGCAAGCTTGGGCCATACGTACCCGAAGGAAGTGTGCAGAAGACTGCCGTATATTTGATCATGTCGCATGACAGTGAGCACCTTGCATGCTTGTCAGTTTATAAGAACGGTTTCTCACAATATTATAGATAGCCAAGGCAGACTATCACTCCAGAAAGACAAGCCAGTGCTAACATACTCGGGTGTGGGCCGATCTAAATCTGTATCTCGCATCCACGGTATCCTCGAGAGAATGACAGCTGCTGTCGGTGGGAATAACATAGCCAACCCAGTCTGGAGTACTTTGGGTAGGCAGGAGATCACAGTGCATCCCATGTATGTTCATAAGCGGTAGACCCGGCACCAGTTGAAGTACCTAACATTTACCGCAGAGGTGGAGCGCGCATCAGCAAAGACAACACTGGGAACAATGGGGTGGTCAATCACCTAGGAGAAGTCTTGAAGGGAAACAGCAGCGAAGCGTATGAAGGACTGGTCGTGTGCGACAGCTCTGCGCTGCCAGCAGCTGTTGGCGTCAATCCTTTTGCGACCATTACAGCCTTTGCTGAAAGATCAGTTGAGATGGTAGCCCGGAGGCGAAATATAGCTATCGACTATAACACGAAGAGTGGTGGGTACTGGGCAGAGACGAAAACGCTTCTCCCTCGCTAACAGCCTCAGGTCAATTGGACATGTTCGGTACTCCGGCATATCGTTCTCCTCAAGATGCAGAAGCCGCGCAACTTGCATACAGGCTTGCGAAAGCCACTGAAAATCAAAATACCGGTGTCGTGTTCTCGGAGATCATGACTGGCTTCATATACACTGGTCATGACGTTAAAGACTTTGAGGTCGCGACGAAGCTTGCTCGAGGCCGCTGCGAGAATGCACGATTCTTCCTGAGCGTCAAAGCATGGAGTGCTGAGGAGCGTGAGTTTATGCTGTTACATATAAGCCTCTAGTCAAATTCCACTGACGCTTTGCAGTGGTAAAGAGCAGCCAACATTTGGCAAACTTGACGGGAACATTTACTTGCAACACGCTTGGAGGTGTCTTCTTGGTCCACAGAGGCACCTTCCAACTGTTCAACTACGATGCCCGGCAACCAGACACAGCGAACCTGACGTATAACTTTGACATGATATCAACCAGTGGGAGAAAACTGCATTTTAACGGCTACAAAGTCGTGAACAGTGCATCTTTCCTCAACCCACTTGAACTGTGGAGACAGACCAGCACGCTGTATGTCACCATCACAGATGCGAGCAATATAGTAGTAGGCCGCGGTATGCTGCGCATTCTGCCAGACGATTTCGGTTACGAACTGAGAACCTTCGAAACAAGTGGGCCATCGCTGTGGACAAGGGCCAAATCGGCAGTGAGCTTTCTCGCCTACTTTGCAAAACAGCTTTCCGTGCCGTTTCTTTCGGCGCTTGGGCAACTTCAGTGGCCAGACACAACGCTGAATTACGCTTCTAAAGAAGTAACTCCATCCTCCACCATTCCATTGACAGCATCTGACGGAGTCACCACAAACATGGTGATGTGGAATCCCACCTTCCAAGGAAAGGATATTCTGGGCCCTGCCCCAACCTTACTCTTCATACCAGGAGCAGCAGTTGACCACAAAATGTTCGCTCTTCCTACCATAGAGAGAAATGCAGTCGAGTACTTCCGCGAGTCCGGATATCGTATCTACTGCATCACTCATAGAGTCGGACGAGCTCCGATCGCTCGAGAAGGGTACACACCGTATGATGCACGGCGCGATATACACGCTGCTCTTGTCCACATCCGCAAAGTTATCAGCACAATAAGTCCGTCCGAGCCCCCAAAGGTCTACGTGGTGGCCCACTGCGCAGGCTCCCTCGCACTGTCTTGCGGCCTACTGGACGGCACAATCCCTAGTGACTGGATTCAGGGAATCACCGCATCAATGGTTTTCATGAACCCTAAGTTTGGAAAGGTTGATAGTCTCCTGTCCAAATTTCCCACATCCCTATATGCCCGACTGGTCAGTCCGTACTGGGACTGCACCAGTAGCCGCAACGACACTTTATATCCAGTCACTGTTGAACCAGGCGTTGCGCTTTTACCCTCATGGGGCGGCCGGGGAGTCGTGCCGATCGGTCGTCTGCCATCGGAGCGAACTTGTATTTGGCCGGTAAGTGTTCCAAAGACGTCTGTGCATCCGCCAGCAACAATCACCTAACAAGACCGCAGTCTTTGGACCCATAAAAACCTCAACGACGCAACCCACACCCAACTCGAACGCTTCCTCGGCGGCACCTCAATGCGTTCCCTTCAATGGCTCATGGAGAGCGGCCGGAAGGAGAGCGTTCTAGCCAACGGGCCAGCTTTCACCAATCTCGTCACGCCGGAAAACCTCGAACGTTTGAAGGGAATTCCGATCTTGTTCCTATCAGGAACTGGAAACATGGTGTTTACTGCCGAGAACACGGATATCTCGTACACGACACTTTGTAATGTGCACGGAAGGGATTGGTGCGAGCGGGAAGTCTTCAGGGGCAAGGGACATTTGGATGCCTGGATGGGCGCGACAGCCTATCAAGACGTTTATCCGAGGGTGAGACGCCATGTTGATCAGATCATGATGTGGGAACAGGGCCCGGCTGGAAAGATGAACAGGAAGGATATGATGTAGGGATATGAGTGGAACCAGAATGTCTATCTATGTGCGGTTTGGTTTGCGTTGTATGTAATCCGGTCCTATGTACGGAGCACTCTCTAGTGATATCTACCTTAGGACGGGGTATGCGCGCTGCTTCAAGTCCAATTGTAAACACCCCAAACAAGTCAAATAGCCCAAACATCCTGAATACGTCACTTGTGGAACTATGCCATATGCGGTTTAAGCCATTTTTACCCGCATCTCCGCCTTCCTGCCTCAGGAACACCTCCGACTCCCTCCCCGAATGCGGCTTGATTGATCATCATTGCAGGTGTCTGCGATGGTTTAGCATCCCATCATCGATCATGTTGACGCCCTACTCAGGACTCCTTCGAGTCCTGCCTTTACTTCTACTCGCCCTCACAGCCACAGTATCCTCCGAACATACCTCCAACTGGGCCGTCCTCGTCTCAACCTCCCGTTTCTGGTTCAACTACCGTCATCTCGCCAATGTCCTCTCCTTGTACCGCACCGTCAAGCGGTTGGGCATCCCCGACTCGCAGATCATCCTGATGCTCCCCGATGACATGGCCTGCAACCCTCGCAATGCCTTCCCCGGAACCGTTTACAGTAATGCAGATCGCGCCGTTGATCTTTACGGCGACAACATCGAGGTCGACTATCGGGGGTACGAGGTCACCGTGGAGAACTTCATCCGCCTTCTGACGGATCGCCTGGACGAAGATGTACCACGCAGCAAGCGACTTGGCTCCGACGCGGGCAGTAATGTTTTGGTCTACATGACTGGTCACGGCGGCGACCAGTTCCTGAAGTTCCAGGACTCCGAGGAAATCGGGGCCTGGGACCTGGCGGACGCCTTCGGTCAGATGTGGGAAAAGAAGCGCTACCATGAGCTCCTGTTCATGATTGATACCTGCCAGGCGAACACTATGTATACGCATTTCTACTCGCCGAACATCATCGCTACCGGATCCAGTGAGCTTGACCAATCTTCCTACTCCCACCATGCGGACAACGATGTCGGAGTTGCGGTGATCGATCGCTGGACATACTATGTGTTGGAGTTTTTGGAGACACAGGTGACGAGTGCCAACTCGAAGCTCACGCTGGGCGACTTGTTTGATTCGTACGACGAGTCCAAGATCCATTCCCAGCCGGGCGTCAGATGGGACCTGTTCCCTGGCGGCGAGCAAGAGGGACGGCTTCGCACCGTGGCAGATTTCTTTGGGAATGTGCAGAACGTCGAAGTTGAGAATGTCAATGCGACCGAGCCGGGCTCGTTGCAGGAGGATTTGATTGAGATTGCCCGACTCGTGAACAAATGGCGCGCCCGCGACCAGGCATATCTTGCCCGGCAGAACGAGTCCTTGGTGTCAAAGGATGCCAGTGCGCATGAGGAATCTTTCCCGCATTACACGGTCAGGACGAAGGTTGGGCCGGCGAAGATGTCGGAGGAATCTACGTGGCAGAAGCGGTTGGTCGGGGTTTCCGTCCTGGGTGCGTGTGCTGCTGTCTGGCTTACGGGATCGATCTTGGGCGGGACCTCGGCTTGATCTTGAAGCAGAACATTGCATTTGATGTATGAGTTGCAGTTGGTCGCCTGCCTTGACGTTCTACTGACCTAGAGGCTGGAGCACATCTGCACCCGGTGTCTATGTTAACCGGATAGCGCAGGGATGGCGTTCCAGGTGTCTTTTTTCTTTTCAAAGAGTTTTCCACCGTTATAATCAGCATAGCATGTACACAGATAAATGCATTGTTTCTTGAACAGACATCCAGCCTAGGGCAAGGCAATATGCTTTGGGACTAAACCCAAGTTCAAGCCACGCTTTAAGGATAAATCCAATAGTTTCGACAGCCAATTTAGGGAAGCCATTCCCATCGCCCCTCGAAACAAGCCCGTCTGCAGTGCAACATTCTGAAGAACTGAAGAACGTGGAGACCTGCAACATGCCAACGAGCAGCGCCTTTTGAGTAAAATTGATTTTATTTGCGAAGAATAAAACCCGGGCTTGGCGGGCGGACCTCCGCACGTGCCAGACGCGTCTTCGGGCTGGCGATGCGCGCCGCTCGATTATTACATCGCCTGGTTTCCGCAGAAAACACCCACAAGCAACAACAACATCAGGAAACAATGGCGTGGACGACTCTTGTCTCTTACCTCTGAGTCGCCGCCAAATAAGTCTACCTGCCTGGTTTCCTGTTCTACGACTCAGATTTCGAATTCTAGGCACTTCTCAGTACTCTCCGACACGGCCCTATCCCTCCCTCTCGTCGCCCTCATACTTGCCCACCCGCGTGCTTCAGCCAATTCCTCCTTCGCCCACTAACTAAATAGAACCACAACACCTCATACCGCAACTGCTTCTTCTCTCACGGTCTGACGAGGGTTCAACAGAAAAACCCCATTCGACCCTCCTCACGCCGCGAATCCAATCCTAACCGCCATGTATCTCCCCCGCCAACTCATCTCCCACCTTTACCAACAACTCCTCCGCTCACACCACCCGCTCTCCCCACCTGTTCTGATCCTCGTGGCCCTCGAACCCGATGCTCTCTGTGCCTGTCGGATTCTCACGGCGCTCCTGAAGCGCGACTACATCCCGCACAAGATCCAGCCGGTAGCCGGGTATGGCGATCTCGCGCGCGCGGGCGAGGAATTGGTCAAGCCCATGCGGACAAACAATGGCGGGAGCGGTGGGGTAGTTGTGTGTCTCGGGGTGGGTGGCCTGGTGGATTTGAGCGAGATATTATGCTTGAGCAGTGAGGAAGAAGAAGAGGAAGAAGATATGGGCGGGGTCGAGGTGTGGGTATTTGATGCTAGGCGGCCGTGGAACCTGGCTAATGTGTTTGGGGGTGAGGGGCGGCCGTCTGCGGCGGCTGATGCTATGGGAATGGTGAATCTGGGTGCGAGACGAGGGTCGCGCGGTGTTGAGAAAGGGTGTATTACGTCGGCGTATACGTCCGGCAATGGGGGCATTGTGGTTTATGATGATGGGGATATTGAGGAGGAGTTAGGGAAGGAACGGGAGGCATATTGTGAGTTAGTGGCTATGCCGGAAGTGGGCGAGGAGGATGAAGACGAGGATGAGGATGCCGACTCGGGGAGTGATCGCGACGAGGATCATCCCTCGAGTTCGGATTCCAAGAAACGCAAGTCGTGGTCGCGCGAGGATGAGGACGACGAGTCGGATGACGAAGACGGGCCTCCACGTCAGCGAAGAAGGAGTGATTCGGTGTGTAGTATTCCTTGCTGTGCTGAGGCCGGTGCTAATGTGCTCATTGTAGGGGTCCTATATCATTTCATCGCCGTCACGCCCTCCGCGGAGAGCTATGCATGATTCGTCCAATTCGTCTCGCTCGGTTACACCAACATCAGATTCACCGTCGCCGTTACAGCCCAAGCCGCCGTCGGCGCGCTCGTTACGACGACGATTGCTGCGCATGAAGAGGAAGCACGAGAATGTGCTACAGAGTTACTATTCGTCAGGGACGTCGTATTCGGAACCGATATCGTCCATCGTCTATTCCCTTGCGTCCGAGCTCGGTCGTGAAGACAACGATCTGCTGTGGCTGGCCATTGTGGGTGTCTCGAGCTTGGAACTGAGTGGCCGTACCATGTCGGGAGTGGGTGTGTCGAATGCGCTGGAGTACGGCGGCTCGGCTGGCTGGGGTGGAGAGAGAGGCGAACGAATACGGCAGATTCTACGGGATGAGGTCCTGCGATTAAACCCTCCTGATCCATATGAGCGAGATCGCGACATCAGAGGCGAAATTAACGGCGTCATTCCGACTACGGCACGTTCTCCGACAGACAAGTCGATCCGGCTATCGCCTGAACCGCGTTTCATCCTCGTGCGGCATTGGTCGCTCTATGACAGTATGCTACACAGCCCGTATCTGGCATCCAGACTTCATGTGTGGACGGAGAACGGAAAGAAACGACTACACAAACTGCTGGCGAAGATGGGCATCAGCTTGAACCAGAGCCATCAAAACTATACCCATATGGACATGGAGCTGAAGCGAGTACTACGACAACGTCTCTTGAAATATGCGCCAATGTACGGCTTAGACGGACTTGTTCCGCCGGAGGCGTCTGGGCATGCTGTCTCTCGCGAGGGATGGGGTTTTGTGCGCTGTTGGGGCTGGAAAGCCTGCCTCTCTGCCACCGATGTGGGTGTTATCGTCGGTGCAATCCTTGAAGTCGGGCCTGAAGAAGCCCCCGGAGTGTGGGATGCCAAACGCGCGTCCAAAACGGCTACAGCGACCAATGCTGATGGGTCTACCGAGTCAGATCTGGCCAGCCTGCTGCCCCGGTTTTGGAGCGCCTACGATGCGCTGTCATTGACTTCGGAGTCGCCGACGCTCCTGCTGTCATCTCTCCCTCTTGCCCAGCACTTGCACCGGGCCATCCTTCGCACTGGTACTTCCCTACTTGCAAAGCACCAGATTCGTCATCTGCGAGCGTTTCGCATCGCCGTTGTCAAAGATGGTCCGGATGTGAAGCTCTTCACCAATCCGGGAGCATTGACCAAACTAGCTTTGTGGGTTGCTGAGGCAATCCGGGTACAAGAGAGGGAACGAGGAGACTCCGTCAAGGTAGGACGCAGGCGGGCCCTGGGCACACCGCTTGTTCTTGCTGGGCTTGACGAGGACCGAGGCTTGTATGTGGTCGTGGGTACAGGAGGAGGTGGCGGAGTGGTTGACTTTGCCGCCCTCGCCAAACGGCGAGAGGAACGAAGGAAAAAGAAAGAAGCCAAGGAGAAAAAGCGCAAGGAGCGGGAGGAGCGTCGGGCGCAGCGCGCTGCCGAGCGCGCTGCCAACGGTGAAGATGACGAGGAAGAGGAGGAGACGGAGGAATCGTCGTCTGAATCCGAGTCCGAGTCGGAAGACGAACAGGACCTGCGCAGCAACAAGCACCTTCTGCGGAATAGGTTCGGAATCGCGTTCCAGGAAGTGGTGCAAGAAACCAGTGCTCGAGTACGCATTGATAGCTTTGAGCACTGCGTGGTTGAGGTGCAGAAGGAAGACCTGGGAGGCTTCCTGGAAGCGCTGAGCTTCCGCAGTGTTGTCGGTTGAAACAGTCCATCCTGACTGTCCCTTCTTTTTCCTTGCGTCATGCTCTTCATTCTACGTTAATCACAACGTGTCTGCTAATGCACTCTTCTATGTCGTGTCTAGGGTGGTTTTGGTTCTGCTTTGCATCAATTCGCGAGGATTGAGGTTAATTGGGGAGGAGTGTTGGGATACAACCAGGGGTTTTTGTCTTCTTTTTCTTCTTTTTTTTCTGCTTCTCATGGAAAATACAAGGGAGGACATGTATAATGACGGATTGGAAGCCATCTGTGCGATCATTGAATTTCCTTTTGTCACTTCATTTCAGTTCACTCACGATGACCGGCTTGCATTGCTGCACATGTCATGGCGCTTTGGGGGATTCTGCATGGGTTGCTTGTTTGTCACTGCCCTGGTCTTCCTATGGATATAGCATGCGAGACAGGAGTTACCTTTTTTTAAATGGACCAACATTTTGGATCCATCAGTTGTGTCCCTCCCGTTCATGATATCATTGCTATTTGGTGGAGATATCCAGCTGCATCGGCTTTCTCTCCGATCCCCGCTTCCCCTCCATTTCAACTCTTCTTGCTCCACCTCACATTATATTAAAGCATCCCAATTGCTTCTCTCCCCAATTGAACCTCCCCAGAAACAATCCCACACGATTGACTGCACAATGGCTACTCCCCGCGAATACCCCGTGGTGCCCCGCGAGAGCACCCTATCCCAGCTCCCCCCAGAATCCTCCCTCAACGCACAAGACCAAATCTCCGAGCTCCTCTCCACCGCATCCCTCAGTCGTCTCGTCGTGCTCGACGACGACCCAACCGGCACCCAGACATGCCATGACATCGCCGTCCTCACAGTCTGGGACATCCCAACTCTCCAGGCCGAACTGCAACAACCCTCCCCGGGCTTCTTCATCCTCACCAACTCCCGCGCCCTACCCCCCATCGACGCCGAGAAGCTCATCCGCACCATCTGCGAAAACGTCCAACAAGCCGCCAACCTCGCCGGAACCACCGTGGACATCGTCCTACGCGGCGACAGTACTCTCCGCGGCCACTTCCCCCTCGAAGCCGACGTCGCGCAATCCGTCTTCGGTCCCGCCGACGCCATCATCCTCGCCCCATTCTTCTTCCAGGGCGGCCGTCTCACCATCAATGACATCCACTACGTCGCCGAAGGCGATAACCTCGTCCCCGCCGGCGCAACCCAGTTCGCCCGCGACGCCACCTTCGGTTTCAAGAGCTCCAACCTCCACGACTACGTGCTAGAGAAGGCGCCGGGACGATTCACCCCGGAGCAAATCCACTCCATCACCATCGAGGACATACGAATCAATGGCCCCAGCACCATCTGCGACAAGCTCCTCGCCTTGCCCAAGGGGAGCGTAGTGATCGTCAACGCCGCAGCGGAATCAGACATGCACGTCTTCGTCGCCGGCTTGCTCAAAGGTACCTACCTACTCCCCCATTCACCTTCCTCTACCACCCCAAACCCATTCTAATCAAACTGCACAGCGAAATCCCAATCCCAAAAACACTACCTCTACCGCACCGCCGCAGCCTTCGTCTCCACAACCCTCGGCATCCGTCCCCAACCCCCGCTAACAGCCTCCTCCTTCCCCTCCGAGACCCAGCCTAATAGTAAAACCGGAGGAACCCTAATAATCGCCGGCTCCTACGTCCCCAAAACCACCGCGCAGCTCAACCATCTAACGACCAAGCACGGCCCCGGTGGCACAAACACCCTTTCTATCATCGAGCTCAACGTCGAAGACATCATCACCTCCTCTTCCTCTTCGACAACAGAAGACCCCACTTCCTTGGACCCCATAATCACCTCAACAGTAACAGCCGTTGAATCCTCTCTCCTCGCGGGGAAAGACGTCCTCGTCATGACAAGTCGGAAGCTCATCACGGGGGGAGACGAGCTCTCCAGTCTAGCGATTGGGGGCCGCGTGGCGGAGGCGTTGGTGGAGGTGCTGAAACGGGTGAAGGTACGGCCGAGGGTGATTATTGCCAAGGGGGGGATTACGTCGTCTGATGCGGCGACGAAGGGATTGGGGATTAAGCGCGCGATGATCTTGGGACAGGCGGCGCCGGGGGTGCCGCTTTGGAGGTGTGATGAGGAGACGGCGACGCATAGGGGCGTGCCGTTTGTGGTTTTTCCCGGGAATGTTGGGGGCGTGGAGACTTTGGGGGAGATTGTGGAGGGGTGGAGGTGATGAAGTCCCTTATGATGGGGGTGGGGGTGGGGGTGGATTTGTATATATGGAGGCTACTAAGTACTAGATGTTTGCTCTGCTATAGAGAAAGTGGTGATGAGGTTAGAGTGGCCCTGGGCCACAAATTGTACCTTCATTTGCAACTAGACCTAGTAACTGTAACTGTAACTCTGGCATATACCACACCAGAACCTAAGGCAGACCAGGAGGGGGAATGAATGCTATGTACAGCTGCAGAACTATCTGGCCGGGTCTGTCTCGCCTCGCTCTCTCCCTTCCAGAGAAAAAGTCCGGCTCTTACAGCTGCTATCATATCATGGCTGGCCGTATTCTAATATACCTGCATGAGAGAAGAAAAACAAGAAGCAAAAAGAAAAAAAAAAAAGGGAACGCAATACGATGATGACAGTGGCGGCAAATGATAGTGGTCAAAAGTAAGAAAAAGAAGAGTAAACCAACCTTGTACATCTGACCTCCCGGTTATCCGAGCTGGTGATCGCAAAAGAAATTCGCAATGCATACCAGATCAACTGCGGTGATGGTCAGAGTCAGTCAGCTGGGGTTATTTGCTCAGATCATTAATGTATGCTCATCCAGATTGGTGGGATTTGGTTGGATTTCAAACCCGGATACCGTGGTGTTTTATATGGTTTGTCTCTTGGACTGTTTATGGGGGCCTGCCCCGGCGCGAGTGGGAGCTTCTTCAAACTTCATATGAACTCTCAATTCAGGCGGGCATTGCTGTGTTGGCGATTCCGTTGGAGGGGACTTGGCGTTTGGCAGCGGGGTGGGACGGGTCCTACGCAGACAGTCGATATCAGTCATACCCACACACGGAGAACGATCGAGCACTAGGCGACTTGCGAAGAGTCGAAGTTCGTATGGTAGCCGGTTCGCTGCTCGTAAGCTACTTTGGCTTTCTTGCTTGCACTTACGTCCAAGGATTCGATGTTGCGTTTCTGGCCGCTGATCTCGGCTTTCTTGACGATCTTCTTCTTCGGGCGGGTAGGGCGAGTCTCTCCCGGTTGGAACACATCCTCGGGAAGATCAAAGCTGACGGGAGTTAATCGGAAACATTTGCTGCAGGTAACAGGCCACTCACTTGCGGACGTGGGTGATCGCTAGATCATTGATACCGGGCTGGTATCCTGGCCACGAGGTACACGTCGACTTGAAGATCTGGGCATCGGTCGAGATATCCAGCGACCGGGAGGCGCCTACAAAGTCAGTGGATTCACGAAGGTGGTCGATCCTACATACCTGGCTCGAGTGGCTTGAGCTCCAACCCGATATAGTAAGTCGTCGTGTACATGACATGGGTGTCATCAACGGGCTTATTCTCGGCTGCTGCAACATCAGTGTTCTCTGCCCCGTTCTGGGCCGCAGCCTGGTGGGCCGCATCCTTCATCTCATCGGTGGTCTCAGTCTTTGTTCCCTTATCTTGGTACTTGGTAGATCCAGTCTTGACAGCCTCTATTTCCTCATCCGAAGAGACACGATGAACTCTCTCGAATCCCTTGGGGAAGGGGTGCGCGATGGCGATAGTTGCTTTTCTGTCCAGAGCTCCAACAAGGTGTCTGATCTTAGATTCAACAAGACCAGACCAGACCGACTCTGCCTCCTTGGTTCTGCTCGATGCAGTGATGCTGAGGTAGTATTTGTAATCCTTGGTGAAGAATGTGTGTCGCGCGAACAGATCTTCCCAGCGCAGCTGTTTCAAGAAAATCTTGTCCACGATGTCTCCACCACGTTGGAGTTCACGAAGAATGACGGCCTTGGTGGACATCGAGACGTTGTGGGTCGCGCACATGGAGGGGTAGGCAGGAGTAATGATAGGCATCAGATGGAAACGGTCGCCGTGGTAGATCTATCGCTCATTAACGGCCATGCCAAAGATCAAGTATGCTCCTGGACTATCCTTACCTTGGGATTCCAGACCTTCATCTGCAGAGGTCCATCTTCAATCGGCTTCAATAGAACCGGCTGAGGCCAAGCCCACTTGTTCATGATCCGGAAGAATTTGCCCACAATCACCGAGCCGGTAGCCTGGGGGTACAACTGACACACTCTCGCCACCAACATGGCCCAAGCAACACCACCCGGAAAACCGACAATGTTCGAGTAGATCGCACGGCCTGTTAAGACTTAGTAAAGCCCATCTTAGACAAGAGTAGAGCGCTTACGCTGAGCCCAAAGCTTAATAGCGCGCAAAGCAAGTCGGAATGTCTTCTGCTGGGGCACGAGCTCCAAAATCTCGTCCGTCACACGAGTGCCGTTAAGCGACCGCACCTCCCTCTCATCCAGACCCCGCAAGTAATCATTGTTCTTGAGATCCAGATTCATAGGAATGGAAGGAATGATCAAGCGAGCAAAGATCAAATCGATACTGATGCCGGACAATTCAAGTTTGATGATCGGAACGTAGGCGTCTGGGACCGGAGTCATCTTCTCGATAGCTCCCGGAGCAGCCATCTTCTCTAAAATCGGGGGGAAATCCGAAAAGAAGTCATCGATAATAACATGCTTCGGGCCGACAACCAAGGTATCAATATCCGAGCCCGGTCCATAAACACCCAGGCGATAACTTCCGTACGTGAAGATCTTCCCTCCGGCGGCCTCGACGGCTGCTTGAGAAAGGCCCTTCTTCCGACTGACTGTTTTGACGAATTCGACGGTAACACGCTGGATGAGCTGCAATACTTGTTTCCTAGAGCGCAATTGCATGCTTAGCGCCCATGCCGACTGACCTTCACGAAACCATCACGGATCGGCCTCTTACCTTCGTTCCGTCTCCGCAGGGCTCTCGAAATTATTCTGCACTTTCAACTCCGTGATAAGATCATCGTTTGCTGCAAGCTCGTCGGGGGTCGGTAGAACGGTGGAGATGGGAGGGGTAACTCCCCATTGTCTGACTGGTGGTGCCGCCATACTGAAAGTGTCCAAGTGAAGTGAAGTATTACAGAAGCATGCGCTTGCGCCGTCGACCAACAGAAAGCAACTCGGCACAAGAACGGGATGAAAAAGGAACGACTGGAGAAGAAAATGAAGATGTACTGAGACAAAAGAGATATCTGACCGACGAACCAAAGACGAAAAAAAACCAGCGAAAGGAAAGGGACGAAGGGAGCAGCGCAGAGGGATCGGAGTTGGGAACGAGGAGGCGCTGCCTGGCCGAAAAGAGCAAAGGTTTATCGCCTGCTGACTCAGCCTATCAGCGATCACGTGTGGCTACTAATGGGTATGTAACACTGGGGATGGAGATGTCTAGACGCCACCAGCTGTTTAATATTCTGTATATTTAGTCTGCCATATATACGTGTTGTGGCAGCGCGAGAATGAAAGAGATGCTGACTACAGATCAAGTAACACCACGAAACTCGCTACAGTACTAAATCCTCATTGATGCCGATCAACAACCAATCACTTGGCGTGTATCGATAACACAGTCTCCCGCTTATCGGAGGCAAAGAGGAGTAACAAAGACATGAACAACATTCAATTCTTGTCAAAGAACTCAGCCAGCTGCTCATCCAGCCATTTGACATCCTCTTTGCTTTGCCCTGGACCGCCAGCCCAATCTACACCATGCAGTGTTAGAGTAGATTCTCGTTGGTATGACATGGAACACACTTACGTCCCCAGATCGAAGGAAAAACCTTCAAAGTCCCAGTCCCCCGCTGCATGAAAGCAACCTCGTATTCCGAGTCTTCCGGCCTGTGGACGGGTGTCAGCGGTGACCATGCCTAAAAGGACGGCACTTACGGGAAGTAAAGGTCCGTCTTGCTGGGTAACACCAGGGTTTTGGCTTTGATGGCGCCCAATGCTTTCTCAAAGTTGCCATTGTACGGCTCCTGCTTGGACACATCACCATTCTGCCATGTTTGCAGCATCGTCAAGAGGTTCCCAGGATCTAAAGCCTGTCAGTAACAAACACACATCGGTACAACACAGCACCATGCTGTTGACCGACCTTTCGAAAGCGCCCAAGTTTCCCAGAAGTTCTGCATAAAGTCCTCTAGATCCTTGAACCCCAAGGCGGTTTCATACAGCTTTTCCCGGTAAAAGGCCTGTGAGAATCCCCTGCACCAGTCACTGCATTAGCATACCAGCAGCAGACAAGCAAAGGTCGGCCTGGCCCTTACCATCCTGCATACCCCCTGCCAAACGCTTTCAAACCAACCTCCTTCTCTGTGTCACTCCAGGTCCGCAGGGTTTGCTCGGCCTGGAGGAGGCCGCCATTACCGGACCCCGCCGATGGGGTGTGCTTTGCAGCCAGAAGTGCACTCTTGACGCCCTCCAGGAAGACCTTATTATGAAGGGAAGTTCTTGCAGAGCCACAAAAAGGGACCGCCAAGTCCATGAAGTCAGGGTACTGGGTCGCCCATTGGTAGGTTTGGGCTGCTCCCATCGACCACCCGATCACTGCCCGCACATGAGTGATTTTCAGATGCTGTGTCACTAGCTGGTGCTGGGCACGGACGTTATCATAGAAAGAGCATTTTGGGAAGGGTACGGGATGGGCGTAATTTGATGGAGAGGTCGATTGACCGTTGCCGAACAGCGCAGGGACGATGATGAAGTATTTCTTGGGGTTGAGGGTCTTGTCCTCTCCGATTAGCCAGTAGTTGTCGGAGAGCACTAGGTAGAATAAAACGATTGTTAATCAATCAAGAGCAGCCTACAGAATACTCAACTATTTCCGAGATGGTACGTACATCCGGAAAACCAAGAAGGATAGACAATTGCGGGGGAGGCGGGGTCTCCAAAGGTCTTGTATGCGAGGTGAGCATCAAGAAGCTTCTCTCCGTTCTGGAGCTCCCAGTCGCCCAGTTTGAAGGTATCGTACTCTTCCTGCGACATTTTGGAGTATGCAGATTTATAGAAATTGGGTAGAAGATAGGTCGCGCACAAATGCAAACGGATGCAGTGATGCAGCAATGCGTGAGGGGATGGATGGGGAGAAGATGGTGCTGATGGGCTTGATCAATGGCGGCTACAATCGGGCTGGTAAGTTGCCGAATCCCCTCTTCTCCTGTCTGTCTCTCAGTCCTAATCAAGGCTAGGTGTGATCATTGCATGCACTTCCTACTCTCTTATTATCTATCAGCCAGCTTATCACATGGTCTCTTGAAGTGGAGGTGCTTATCGGATGTTATCTACGGAGTATCCTGATAAGCCCATTACTGTCTCGCTGTGCCTCTGAACCATTGTCTTGCTGCTATTCCACAAAATGCTGGCAACCTGATATACCCGCTCAAAGGCTATATTGGATTTATAGAGCAATCGCTCTTTTACGCTTCAATGAAGCATCTGGGATACTTTCAAGGACTTAGACTAGACGCACCAGCACACATGAGATTCGCCCAGCTTGTCAACAACTATCAATAAACCCAAACGGGAGAGTCAAGTCTCCAGGCAAGTACATGAATATATTTCATTGTAGCTAAAGAAAACACCATCGTTCCTAGTCGGGGTTTAGTGTTCCAATTTGTAAATAACTAGTAGTATACTGAGCCATTGTAGGACGTCGACCAAATCTAACCAACAAGGTCCGGGGGTATTGAATGAATGATGGCCACGGGTTAGACTTTCTTCATGGCTTGGGATTATATATACAGTGAAAATATTTGTGGAAGAATAATACTACTATCTCTTCCTCTCTCTCTCTCCTAGTAGTATCTACCATGACACCACCGCGCAGCAGTCGAGCTACATACTAGTGCTGATCATGCCGGCCTGTCAGTGGTTAGATAATCGCCTTTCAGTGAGTCATACTGCTGCTACACCATACAATCCCAACTGCAGGCATCTCTAGTCGATAGAAACAGATATCATTGAACAAAATATCATCTTGCTTTCTAGTTAGCTTATAAAGATAGAAGTTTCATTGATTTCATACTTTTACTCAGTATCTCTCCCCTCCACCATGTCTACCACCACCACCACCAAGAAAGCCCTCCTCCTCGGCGCCGGCTTCGTCTGCGAGCCCGTCATCCAAGCCCTCTCTGAAGCAGGCGTTCACGTCACTATCGCCTGTCGCACTCTGCAGAGTGCTCAGGCTCTAGCCAGTAACTACAAAAACACAACAGCCATCGCCCTCGACGTTTCCCGCGACGCTGCGGGCCTGAACGACGCCATCACCAACACAGACATCATCATCTCCCTCATACCCTACATCTACCACGCCACAGTCGTGGAGGCCGCTATCACGCATCGCAAACCCGTCGTCACAACCAGCTACATCTCCCCCGCGCTATGGGCGCTCGATGAAAAAGCCAAGTCTGCAGGAGTGACAGTGCTCAACGAAATCGGTCTAGATCCGGGCATCGACCACCTGTACGCTGTCAAGACAATCGACGAGGTGCATCGTGCGGGAGGGCAGATCCGATCGTTTACAAGCTGGTGTGGTGCGCTTCCTGCTCCTGACAATGCGGATAACCCGCTGGGGTATAAGTTCTCGTGGAGTCCGCGGGGTGGTCTCCTTGCGTTGTTGAATTCGGCACAGTGGTACAAGAATGGGGAGCTGGCTACGGTGGAAGGGAAGGACTTGATGGCTGCTTCAGAGCCACAGAGTATAGTTGATGGCTTTGGTAACCTGGTCGGGTATCCGAATCGGGACGCGGTTGGGTTTCGTGAATTCTATCGTATTCCTGAGACGGGTACTGTGTTTCGCGGGACTCTGCGCTATGCTGGGTTCCCGGAGAGTATTCGTGCCTTGGTGGCTATTGGGTACTTTTCGCAGGATGAGATGCCTGCATTGAGCAGCACAGCATCCTCCTCTGTTACTTGGCTGCAGTTGACTGCACAATTGCTGGGTCTGTCGGTCGAATCTTCCGAAGAAACTGTACAGGATGCTGTGGCGAAGAGGGTAGCTTCTTTTCTGTCGACCGAAGAAGTCAGTCGTGTGATCACTGGTCTTCGTTGGATTGGCTTATTCGATGCGAGTGCTGTGGATGGGCGTGGTACGCCTCTTGACACACTGTGTGCAGTATTGGAGCGGCGGATGGCCTACGAGCCAGGCGAGAGGGACATGATCATTCTGCAACATGCGTTTGACATTGAATATGCGGGTGGGTCAAAGGAAAAGAGAACGAGCACGCTCGTTGAATACGGAGAGCCAACTGCTCCCGGGTCGCGCAGTGCTATGGCGAAATTGGTGGGATTGCCTTGTGCAGTGGGCGTACTGGCAGTGTTGGAGGGTCGGATTTCGCAGAAGGGAATGGTGGCACCGTGGACGACAGTAGAGATAGCGCGTTTGCTGCGTGAGGAACTTAATGAGCGGTTTGGAATCACGTTGGAGGAGAGGGTAGTCGGATAGTTTTGAATTTGTTCGCAGATGTGCGACAGCTAGCAGACTCCGTCTCTAGGGTTAATCACAATGCGATACTGGGACCGAGCAGCAAAGTATCTTGACAGGGTGATTGTCAGTAATTGACCTACTTTGAGCTGTCTTCTACATAAATATTCGTCTATGCGCGAGGGCTGCAGGGACGATAGACCGTGTAAATTGTGCTGTCAGTTCTCCCAACAGTAAAAGCAAGCGTCCAGTGTAACATATAGTGTTTTGACAGACTGGTCAATTGGACGGCCGAGTTCACTGCGATCATAATTTCTAACTGGCAACTTGTCTACTGACAAATCCACCAACCCGCGAGATCAACATGATCAGCCGTCGCGAAAATGGCACTGACTGTGATCCCGCGGGCTTATCTCAAGCCTTGAAGGCCTGTGCTTCTCTTCCCGCCGGGCTCGGGCAACAACCCGACCTGGGGGTGAATCAACGCCCCCCAGCTTACTGCAAGCACACCTGCTGCAGGAATGTTTCACAGTGCTTCAGATGCAGCTTCTCAGAGGCATGTAAGCTGCTGGGCCGACTGACTCACTGACTGTTAAGCGGATCCCCGCACGGCTACCATCCGTCGATGGAACTGGGGAATGGCCCTATCCATCCCTTATTCCCTCCCTCTTCATCAGGGTCGGTCTGCAATCTCCTATTTCGGCCGTCAAAGCGGTGGTCATGGCTCGGACTGTCCTTTCCTCCGTCTTGACTATCCACTGGGTAATTTCTTCTCTGATCTAATTGACTAGTTTGTGGAGCGAGACGACTGCTGCTAGAGGATAGTCATACGCGCCAAGTCACGCCCTAGCCGGTCTCGTTTCACACCATGACCAGCTGCCATCTTCATGGCAGAATAATGAAAGGAAACACAGCATGGGAAGAAGTCAGATCAACCAGAGTCGACTGTGGATTTACACATAATTATAGATCTTCCCCGCACACGAGGTATGTCCAGCCTGCATGTTATCTGTGGCTGAGCACCGTCAGCCAAAACCGAGAGAATGATCGTCGTGAGGGAACTGCTCCGTGGCAGGAAATGAGGCCGGACGCTACTAAACAAGCGCAATGATCCACGGCCTCACGCCATTCGTCCAATCACTCCAAAACCTGCAGTCCATCAGCCACCGGCGTGTGTTCGATCGTGATGGTGGTTGCAGGCTGATGCATGAGCACCCGTTCTATATTTGTCCTCCTTTTTCTTTTCTGGCTGGGTTTTTTTTCTTAGTAGTTTTCAGTTGTTTAGTCTAGAGTCCGTCGTCGAGGGTTTGTCCATCCTTGCTTATCACCAAAACACCTTTAATATGCAGCTGTCGCATTCCTCACTCCACTGTCTGCTGCAGGCTGTGTGTTCTGCTACTACTTTACCCTCCGATTCCAGTGAATTAGCTGCCTTTCTAGTACTATTTCCACACTCAATCATGATCTACTAGGCATCGTTCCTCCTACCCCCATGTTAGAGAACCCACAGCATCAGTCGTGAGCGCGACCTTTTCCGCAACTATGGCATATACCGTCGCTTCCACGGCGTCAATGAGCACATATGGCTGGGATTCCACTCCAACTCTCTCACCACATTACTACAGTCTATCTCAGCAGCCATCACCTCAACCATCACCGCAGCCACATCTACAGCTACAATTACAACAAGACCAAACCGACGAAGAAACAATCAGCACATTCTGGCGATTCCTAGCCTCAAGTTCCTCCTACCTCGTGCTAGCAGGGTAACGCAACCAACCCTACCTTCGATGTTCAATACACCTCCAACCTAACCCATCCAATCCCAAAATAATAGCTTTCTAGTCCTTCCCCTAGCATTCACCACCACCTCCTCCAACAATCCCAACAATGAAAACACAACAACACCATCCACCGACCCAACAACCACCATAATCGCCGCATCAGTCCTAATCGCAATCGGCTACACAATAACCCTCATGCTAATCTTCTTCCAAAGACACGAGCGCCAATACCTCCTCCACTCTATATACATGTATACACATCCCCCTCCACCCTCCACATCCCCAATCAATCAATCAATCAATCAATCATCCACTAACATAAAAACCAAAAACCCCAAGACCAAACACAACAACCTCCCTCCTCTCCCTCCTCAACATCCTCCTCAACATCCTCTGCCGCAACCCAACCCAATCGCCCGGCCCATTATCCCCAGTGCAAACAACCAGCCTCGTGCTACCTAGTGTCTTCGCATTCCTGTATGCTCTGGGCGCGTTATCCATTTACGCAGGTGAAATGTGCATCTTCACCACTACCACCACTGCTGGTGGTGGTGGTGGTGGTGATAATAGAGGCCGCCAACGGAATAATAAGAAAAAGGGCAAGAATAATCAACTACTACCACTAACGGAGGAGGAAATGCAACGGCAGCAGCTGCAGCGATTGCTGGATCAGAAGAATTCGAGTCCTAGACGGGGGCCTAGTCCGAGGGTCGTGCAGAAGACGTTTCGCGTTAGTGCGCCGGAGAGGATAAATCCTGGGAAGGGGTGGGATACGTTTACGCCGGATTTGAGGGTTGATGGGAGTGGGAATGGAAGTGAGCATGGGGGTGGGAGTGGGAGTGGGAGTGGGAGGTGGGTGTGATTGTTATTGACTGTGTTTTGTTTGGGGGGTGGAGGTTGATTGGTTGAGTTGTTGGTGTTGTGGTCTACTGCGTGATAATAATAATAATATGAAGATAATGTGTCAATGGACTATAATATATGGATAGTATGTCGAGTGGTGCAATGTGTTATGTTTGCTAGCTGAGTTGCTGCACCCTCTTGAGGATATTCTATTGTATACATGTAGTCACAGGCTTACGGGAAGAGAGAATAACAACTCTTCAGAAGAACTGGCATACTCAGTGTGAAGGTTCACTTTTTGACGTTTCATATACAGACACAGATATCAGATGTTGCTCTATTCCATTTGCAATCTCCAGACTTCTCTTTTTACCAGAAAAATCTATTGAAAACACTGTTTACGCAACGCAGGTCTAGTGAGCATTATAATACACCAAAAAAAATTTCCTTCATCACTTCCCCATCTATTTGGAGATCTCAACACCACCGGTGGCACCGAGGACACGCTTGATGTCACCGTAGATGGCGAACTGACCAGCAGTCAAGGTACCAACCATGAACAGACGAGCACCGATACCGGCGTAGGAGCCACGGAAGCCGAGCTCCTTACCGATCTTGATCAGACGGGAGACGGTACCCTCACCGGGCTCACCAGGGGTCTTGTTGATCTTGGAGAGCATGGTGTCGGCGGGCTGAGAGACAAGGGCAGCAGCGAAACCAGCAATGAGACCGGAGCCAAGGTTGATAGCAGTCTTGGTACCATCGCTGGCGGTGTTCTTGTCGACCATACCGTAGATAGCCTCAGCAGCCTTCTCGAAAACGACGAACTTGGCCATGGTGTAGGGAACCCTGAGAGACTTTTAGCATATGACTTGACAATTCTGCTGCATCAAGGGAACTTACTGCTTGAAGAGGATAGGACCGAAACCAGAGTAGAAAGCACCGACACCCTCGTTCTTGAGGATCTTACCGAAACCGCTGACGAGACCGGTAGCGAAAGTGGGCTGGGAGACGAGACGGATACGGGTGGCCTCAAGAGGGCAGAGAGCGATATCAGCGAAGAACTCAGCGGCAGCGGAGGAAGCAAGGTAGACAGCGGTGCGGTTGTTGGAGGCAGTCTCGAGACCGAGCTGGTTAATCCACTGCTGCTTGAAGAACTCGTAACCACCGAACTTGAAAGCACCCTGGAGGAAGTAACCGGCGGCGGTAGGGCCGAGACCAGTGAGGAGAGCGCCAGCACCCTCGTTGGCAATGACCTGACGGAAACCGCCGATCATACCACGGTTGTAGGTAACGGGGTCAAGCTGGATTCTGGTCTTGACGCTGCAGGGGACGAAAGAAGAGCACGTCAGCAACGGGCTTCTGGGAAAAGGTCGTCGAGATGGAACAACAATCGAGTCGCACACTCGGTCGGAACAAGGCGCGATCGAAAGCGACAAATCGATAAATCGACAAACGGCGACATGATCCGACTTACACATCGACAGGGGTGAGAGCACCGTGGGTGACGGAGCAGCAGACAGCACCAGCGAAGGCGAATCTGGAGTACAGCTGGAGGCCGGAGAGCTGGGGAGCAGGGGCGGCGGCAGGCGCCTCCACCTTAGCGTTGGCAGCCATTTTGCGTGTATGGGGGGGTATATGAAAAGAAGAACAGAAAGAAGGGAAGAGAGGAGTGTGGAGAAGAGAGGGAAGAGGAGAGGAGAGCGAAGCAATTGAAGCTTTGCAGAGTTTGGGAAAGAGAGGGAAGAAAATGGAGACCCGGAAGGAAGAGGATTTGAAAGGGATGGCCGGCGGGCTGCTTTGGCACTAGCGGCACCCGAACCCGAAAACTTTTCGCGGCCAATGCGTGCCTTGCCACAAAGCCTTTAAATCCGATCGCCCGGTCAACCAACAAATGAACGAGCGAACAATAACCCCGTCATTGAGCACCAGCGTTATAGTCCCCATCTGATTGACAGCCAGAGAGAATCATTTCCTCCCTCCGTCATAGCATCGAATTGTTTTTTTGTGTTTGCTGTGTTGTTGAAGATCGGTCACCTGCGGTGTTCCACCCTTAACTCCGGTTCTTCCGGGCAGGGTCTTCAGTAGGGTGACTAGGGTCAGGTGCAGGTCAGGTTAGACGGGGAAATGGCAATAATCTTCTGAACTATAACGGGAATTTCTATAGTAGAGTATCTTAGAAAATGACTTGCTACGATGTGCTCTTGAACTCAAACACCTATCATCTTCTCATTACTGTTTGATCTCTCGCGACTTAATTTACCGAGGTCTAAGACAATAATAAGCCAGGTATTGCGACAACGGCAGTCTCAGGCATACAATAGTTGAAAATTCGCATCAACAAGAAATATCCTCCCTTCTCTGACCATGGTTTCTGCGGCAAACTGAAACCGTCGAATATACCCCTTTCGCCTCTTCCGAAACCTCACGACAAAGTTAAGAGAAGGGTCTGGTTCGGCAAATAACCATTCCATCCTCATCCTCAAGTGACGAAACCTGCCATGGCCGCCAAGCCGTGCTGCCCACTGATTGGTGCACTTTCTCCTTTCGGTCAACGGTAAGCCGAAGGAGAACTTCTTGTTCGGTTCATAACAATTTTGTGCGCATTCATCCCCTCAGGCATCAACATTCTATCCTCGGAATTGTGGTCTAGCGTTGCGACGCGATTGATGCGTTACATAGACCAGTATACGAGGTGGAATCTGCAAGGAACGCTCTAGAAAATATAGGAGAACTCACTGGAGTTATGGTTTGCGCCCGACAGGCACAACTACCAGCCCCGTCGACTATTTAAAGTATCAACGCACTAAAAACAGGAGGCTTAAGTGGCTGTTCTCTGATCGACCATCATGCCTTAAGATCATACAAGACAGCTATCACCAATATGACGTGTTTTGCAGTATACAGTTGATACATCTAAGATCTGAATAACAGTGGAGGTGATTTTCTCTAGCACAAAACTCAATCCCTCTCAACTTCGCCCTCGAAATAGGATACCTGTCCTTCCTGTTCATCCTTTCTGGTACTGTTTCAAGAAGTAGGAAGTACTGCGTTTCTCCATGTTATCTTTCCTCCTATGCTGCCATCCTAAGAAGAGGAGGGAGAGACAAATATGGAAGCAGATTGAAGGTTAGCCTCCGTAATCATCAAGTTGCATCTTATTGGGATTTGAACCCACGCTTATGTGTGTCCACCAACAGAGGAAGCTGAGCACTTGGATCAGCTTCCATCATGGGATGCTCCCGACAACACATTGATGTTGCAAGCCTTTGAATGGCACGTGCCAGCCGACCAAGGTCATTGGCGTCGTCTTCACCAGGCTTTACCAAGCTTCAAGGCAATTGGGGTAGACAACATCTGGATTCCGCCCGGGTGTAAAGCTATGAACCCATCTGGTAACGGGTATGACATCTATGATCTGTATGATTTGGGAGAGTTTGAGCAAAAAGGGTCTCGAGCTACCAAATGGGGTACAAAGGAGGAGCTTCAGTCCTTGGTAGCTGCAGCCCAGGATCTTTGTATAGGGATTTACTGGGACGCTGTTCTCAATCACAAGGCAGGGGCAGATTACACAGAGCGCTTTGAAGCTGTCAGAGTTGACCCACAGGGTATGCCAGCTCTGCCATTATTAGCTCGGGTGCACCTACTAACTTGAGGGCTTTAGAGCGTAATATGGAGATCGCCCCTGCAGAAGAAATAGAGGGCTGGGTGGGGTTCAACTTCTCTGGACGTGACGACCAATATAGTTCGATGAAGTACAACAAACACCACTTTAGCGGTATCGACTGGGATCAGTTACGTCAAAGGAGAGAGGTCTACAAGATCCAGGGACATGAATGGGCGAACGACGTCGCCCATGAGAATGGGAATTACGACTATCTCATGTTCGCCAATCTGGACTACTCTAATGCAGAAGTGCGACGCGATGTTCTAAACTGGGCCGAGTGGCTCAACTCTCAACTGCCTCTGAGCGGTATGAGACTGGATGCGGTCAAGCATTACTCGGCCGGTTTCCAGAAGGAGCTTATTGATCATCTTCGAGCTATTGCTGGGCCGGACTATGTCATAGTGGGCGAGTACTGGAAAGGCGAGACCAGGCCACTGGTTGAGTACCTGAAGCAGATGGACTACAAGCTATCACTGTTTGATTCCGCTCTAGTTGGGCGGTTTTCAAGCATATCACAGACACCAGAGGCTGATCTTCGCAACATTTTCTCTGATACATTAGTACAGCAGTATCCAGATCATTCTGTCGTAAGTGAATTGTAATTCTGATGAGATCTCTTACTGACTACTGGAAGACTTTCGTTGCAAACCATGACACTGTAAGTGCAATGTCTCCATCCACCTCACTCGACTAACTTAGGTCCAAAGCAACCAGGACAATCTCTCGAGGTACGTAAACAGCACATTTTGGGTTAACAGATCTAACACATGGCCAGGCACCAGTAACATCGTTCTTTAAGCCCCTCGCATACGCCCTTATTCTTCTCCGTGAACAGGGGCAACCATGCATATTCTACGGAGACCTCTACGGGCTCCAAGCTGACGTCAAAGACCCAATGACACCGTCCTGCAGGGGCAAGCTGCCCATCCTCGCACGAGCTCGAAAGCTTTACGCATATGGCCTGCAACGAGACTACTTTGACAAGCCGAACTGCATTGGTTAGTACCTGCTTCATTATCCTCTACCACAGACTGACAGAATAGGTTTCGTCCGCTACGGCAACCGTCGGCACCCCTCGGGTCTCGCATGCGTGATGAGCAACACCGGCCCATCAAGAAAGCGGATGTACGTTGGTCGACGACACGCCAAGGAGACATGGACGGACATTCTGCAGTGGTGTGATCAGACTGTTGTCATTGATCCCAAGGGATACGGAGAGTTTCCGGTTAGTGCGATGAGCGTGAGTGTGTGGGTGAACTCAGAGGCTGAGGGAAGAGATAGCCTCTCATATCATTTGTATGTCTTCGCTTGTAGTCTGAGTATTGATGATGTGCTGACGAGTACTGAACAGTGATGAGGATATATATAAATTAGCTTAGTCGCCTGGGATCCATAATATCTATATAACATACTAATACTACCCAAAAACATATACTGCAGTCACAACTAGCAAATCAAACCAACAACGGCGTATCAAAACACCCAAACCCCTTAACCACACTCATCTCATCCACATCCGCAAACTTCGTCTTCAACGACCACCCCACAGTCTTATTCCTCATAATCTCCCCCTTCTTCCAAATACACAACCCAAACACCCCCAATTCCGAAACCACATCCGACTCCTCCACCCCCATCCTCGACATCAGCACATTCCCCACAACCGGCGACCTAATCCTCTCCATCAACACATATCTCCCCCACTCGGATTCAGAACTTATCCCCAACAGAAACCCCGGAATATCCTCCCCGTAGATATTATGCCCTCCGCCTTCGAGCGACGGCTTCAGTATATACCTCCACGCTGACTCCGGATCCGTCGCCAGCCCCCGCGCATAACGCCCCTCCTCAGAATCCCCATCCATCGAGAACATACCCACAAACGTATCCCTAATAGCCGATACCTTCTCCTTCGAATCAAGAAACCTCTCCAACACCCCCGGACCCATAAGAGCCTGCTGCACCTTCTTAAACGTCAACACATGTCCCAGCACCGACGGACACTTGATCGCCCATGACTGCTCCAATCTAACCCGACATTCTATCCCCACAGCATCATACTCATGCACTTCGAGCCCAGCGCGCAGATACACAACCGATATCTCCACCGGCCTGCTCCCTTCACCCTGTAAATGCGGATAAAACAGCAACTCCCGATTCCCACCAAGACAAGTCCTCTCCAACACATCATCCCCCCACTCAACCCTATACGTCGGGACAGGGCTCTCCCTATCCCACAGCGCATATTCAATAGGCAACTCATCAGCAACGTTGAAGTTATCCGGCTGAACGACGAAAAGCATCCCGGTCTTGGTAGCGAGATCACTCCTAACCGGGCCGCCATAGTATATCTCATGCGCCGTAGCAAGAGAATCAGCTAAGCCTTTGATATTCTCATTCGTAGGCAGGGAGGATAGCGTAATTGGACTTTTCTCCCTGGATTCTTCCCCATTCGCGGCACTTGACAAAGAACCATCGTCATCATATACCCCCGTCCTCGTCAAATACCGATGCATATCCACCACTTTCTTCGCATGACATCCTCCCGCGCATGCGATGGTGTTGAACTCGACTTGCTTGAGCCTCAATCCCGCATTTTCATTTTTTTCAAGGCTAACCCCAACTTCAACTTCAACTTCCTCGTTGTATTTACAAGGAACATGAAGCATATAATCTGACCGGAATAACCCCATGGAGATATCGGAGCCGTACCCCCCTCCTCCTCCTCTTTTACTCTTCATCCGCAGATGGATCTCCCATAATATCCTCGCGAAGGAGTCTACAGGGAGAAGAGGTTTAACTACCGAGTTGTAGAGCCAGGACTCGTTGTCTGAGAGACGGGCGTAGAGCTCGTTGTAGATGGGTTGGAGGTTGTGTGCGTGGTGGAATAGGGCCCTTGGGAAAGGGGTGGGGAAGATGCTGGTGGAGATGGGGTAGCTGCTGCTGCTGCTGCTGGTTGTGTTGTGGGAGGGTTGGGGTTGGTTGAGGTGCATGTGTTTGAGGTGCATGCCGTGGGTTAGTTGGTAGTTGAGGATTTGGGCGGTTAGGTGGTGATGGCCGAGGGGTTCGGGGGTCGTGGGGGGGTACATTTTTATGATGGTGGTGGTGATGGTGATGGGGTTGTTTTGGGGGTGTGAGTTGGTTGCAAAATAGTAGTACTAGCTGTGGTGTGGTAGATGTGGTGGAGGTTATGGTTTGGTTGTATGTTGTAGTTGAGGTCGAAGATGAGAGAGTAAGGCTGAGAGTGTGTGCACTGCCTCGTTTTGTGGGTGATTGGTTGGTTAGGAGGTGGTGGTCTTATAGCTGCTGGGGTTGTTTATATTCATGTCGTTAGTTTAGATTCTACAAGCTGGTTGTTTTGGCGTTTGAGGAGGTTTACACTATAAGTCCATCAAGGAAGATTGTTTATAGATGGTAGTAGTACAGTGATGAAGTATAGCGCGATGGGTTAGTAAGTAATGTATATATATACACAACAGTTACTATATTTCTTACTCCTATATCGTTCTTTGCCAGAGTAGTAGTACATCAGTAGTTGGTTGGATATTATGCATACTGCCGGATATAGTATAGGATTCTCAAATGGTAAGTAGTAGTGCTAGTAATATATTGTCAGAATGAGGAGGGGTATAAGCAACGTCATAGATCTATCCCTCTCCTACTCGTTGGTGGTGCAGGGCTGCCTCACGACACAGCCACTTATGTACTCACTCACTGTCCAGCACTATCAAAGCTGGTTTGTATCACTGATAACCCATCAGAAGCCATGTTCTACAAAGTTGGCAACGGATTGGAATCCGGCCGTGGATGCCGAGGATTTCGCATTGCGGGGTCCTTTCGGCGCTGACAAACCCTTATCGGCCCGGAAGTCGGTAGTCACGGTCTAATCCCACGCACTTTGTGTCTCAGAGGTACCCCTCTTGGCCGTGGAATCTACGTCCCAACTGTGATCTGCGGTCGTGGAATTAAGCATCGGTCAACCTGGCCCGGATGGAGTGAACACCTGCGCGCCCAACTAACGCAATGTCATCAGGACAAAAAGGTGTCTTTGCCATCCTCATGCGACGCTCCATCTTCTCTACAGTTTCCTTCGCTTGCAAGCTACCTGTCAAGTTTCAGTAAGTAACCCGTACAGCGGTTTCCCTGTCGCCGACCAGCCTCGATTCAGGGAGAATCGGCGCCGGAGGGAGTGCCAACCCCACGGTTAACCCTTGCGCATACTGACATCAGGCAGTAACTGCAGGATACCACCTTGTCGCCTAAACCTCCACAACCCCTCTCGAGCGTTTAGCCAAACATCCACCATGTTCAGAGTTGGAGACGATTTCGAAAAGCTCCAAGCCTCCCGGCCCGAGTTCAAGCGTGACGTTCCCGTCACTTTCTCGCAGCCGCCGAACCCCAGCTGGAAGCAGGGAGAGGGCGCAAACGATGGCGGTGAGAGCCTGAAAAAGAACCACGTCGAGATCGATCCCTACGAGGAAGGGCGACCGGCTGCCTCCAACTATAAGCTGTTGATCTCGGGCATCGTCCCTCGTCCGATCGCGCTCATGAGCACGAAGTCCAAGGATGGAAAGACGACAAACTTGGCGCCGTTCAGTTATTCGAATGTCATCAACCATGACCCTCCGCTCTTCACGGTCGGAATTGTTGGCTCCCTAGAAAAGGCCAAAGACACATTGAAGAACCTGGCGGAGACGGGCGAGTGTGTGATCAACATCATTTCGGAGCATTTCGTCGAAGCTGCCAATGCGACAGCCATCAACGCTCCCTACGGAGTCTCCGAATGGGAAATTTCCGGGCTCACCCAAGCACCTTCTGCCGTTGTTCAGGCAGCCCGTGTGAAAGAGTCCATTCTGGCGATTGAAGGCAAGCTGGTGGAAACCAAGGAATTCGAGAGCCGGTCTACGCCCGGCAAGATAACCGGAGTGCTGGCGATCATTGAGGGTGTTCGTTTCTGGGTGAGAGAAGATGCGATCAACGAAGACAAGAGTATTGTCGACCTGAAGGTGCTGAAGCCTATTAGTCGGCTGGGAGGCATTTCGTACGGGCGGACCACCGACGCGATTGAAATCCCAAGACCGCAGTTCTAGATTCGGCATAGATCCTGGCCGTTGCGATAAACTAGTGACCGTGGTACCTCGCTTCGAGTCAGGGAGGGGCCGTTGAAAGCTCCGTATAGCCTCGGTTCAGCATATACACTAGACTAGTCAACTTAAACACTTAGAAGATAGATTCGGTCAGCTAGAGCGTTTGAAATAGATCGTGAAACTCAATTTCCGCTGAAAAGAAGATTCACCACGGTGTGCTCGTCAGCATTGTTGATTGTAGAAATAGCCGAAGCATAGAGATCGGAGAAGAGGCCGACCGTGGACTGAAGCGTGGGGATGGGGAAGTGGATACGTGCCATTTAAGGTAGGAGAAACTCCGGGCCTCCGGACGGAGAAAATGGAGGAAAGAGTCCACTTTTCCCTCCCCAGACGGAGTCCAGACTCTAAGAGTCGAGGCGATCAAGATCCAGGTGCTTGGGACTTGGAACAACAATGCAAACAAGGCTTCTAGGATGTTTCGCCTTGGAACGAGGATAGTTGTCGTATCGTCCATTCCCACCTTCCTGAAAAGGCATAACTTCTGAGACTGACTGATCCTGACTCGCTTCAGATTACTTACTCGTATGCAGTTCTTCCCTTCCACACTATGGTACGACGGTGCACTAGTCGTCGTCTAGTCGGTACGACACGGTAGTTGGGTCCAGTCCAGTAGTGCCCATTGCAGTCCAGTCATGGCTGGCGTGTCCCAGTTCTTAATAATAACTAAGCGGGTAACTAACGTCAACACTTTGCAAGTCACATGGACCATCAGCGATGGGGCAAAAGACGGGGGTGACGGATCAGAGCCGGGCAGTTACTTTTCCTTCCGGAGAGGGTTTCTGCTGTGATCAATCCTTCAGTTCTGTCCCTGATCCCTTCGGTATGTGACGGGACTCCGCTTAGGGTCGGATCGAATGATCCTTGAAAAAGAGTTGTGGTTTCATCCTGCCTACTTTGTAGTAGTTTCCATCATTTTCCGAGTGAACGAATCAATACGAAAGGGTGAGAGGCGAGAGACGGGCCAAGCGAGGCCGGTCACTAGCTACTACTTTACTAGCCAGCGGTCATCCTCCCGCCTGGCTTTGGAGGGCTAAGGGAAAAAAAAACGAGGCATCTCGTGATCGGTAGAAAACAAAGAATCCCCATCGAATCCAGTATCCCTTCTAGGCGGTCAGGCTAGAATTGCTTGGGCCTTGCCTTTTGAGGTGGCTTATTTTTCCGACGCGCCTGAGGAGCACAGGAGAGCCAGAGCAGCCAAGGGCTTAGCTGGCCGATTCTCGACCCAACAATCAATCAGTCAATCAATCAATTCCTCTTCTTCCTTCTCCCCCCCAGTTGACTTGCCTACGTACTGACTGTTAACCACTAGTCCATTACTAACTTAAGTTATACTTCTGCGTGGTGTGTCCCTCTGGCGCAAGCGTGACCAGGTACACCTTCTACTAACTTTCGCTGCTCTGCTTCTCTTTTGCTGTTCCCGCCGACGCCCTACGGGGTAGAAACAAATAATATCATTCGCAGCATAAAAGTTGCAGGGGATTATTTACCAAATAGGAAAAGAAGGGGAAAAAAGAAAAAAGGAAAAAAAGAAATTCAAAACGAGAAAAATAAAATAATAAAATAAAAAATCTACCAACTAAAAGGAAAAAAGAAAACGAGCGTGAGACAGGGAGTGAGTGAACTCACCCTCTTTTCTCCCCTCATCCACTTCCGCTTCCTGTTGCCTCTCTATCCCGCAACAGTCTTCACCGGACACGACGTGGGATCAAGACAACTTACGTCCATGGATTTTTCTCTTTACTTGGTGCTCCCATCCAAGGCTCTTCAATACCGCCGTTCTCCTCGACCTCTGCACTCTCCGCTGGCGATTCCCTTGTGTCTTATCCTTGGGAACGATCGTTCGCCCTAATTCCTACACCCTTACAATCAGATGCCCAATGTGTCGTGACCCCGGATGATAACTTGCTCGCAATGAGCCACCCTTCTCCCCAGAAGAACGGCGGCAATAATGTTCCCCCTCCAAGACAAATCCGCTTCGTTTCAACTGATGGACAGCCCCAAACTAAGCGGCGACGAGTTAATGCGGCGTAAGTCATAGTCGCCCTCTCTTCTCCCCCCCATGCCCCCGGTCTGCTCATCCTGTGATGAATCTAACCTGATCGCTCCCCCGTGGGGCCAACCATAGATGTCTGACGTGTCGCAAGCGCAAAATCCGTTGCTCCGGCGAACAACCAGGTAACCAGTGGCTGACATTAGACTTGATCATGGCCATCGTTTGACTCATTTGCTTGAATGCATAGTGTGCAAAACATGTTCCGATTACAACCACATCTGTCAAGGGTACAGCGAACCGTCTGCCCACGCCCGGTCACAATCCGATGTGGCATCACGAACTCCTACAATTGCCCCTCTACCGCCTCCCAGTGATGCGACTGCCTTGCGCGCGGCGCGAAAGGCCGCAAGTCGCTCCCCTAGTTCTCCGCGCCGAACCATAGTACCTATTACTGACGGTGCTGATAAGCCTTCCGAAGCACTCAAACTGCTGGAGCCGAAGGAGGAACCCCTGCCGACAGACACATCTTCGCGGACAACAAAAGAACTCGAGCAACAGAACAACGGGGCCAGTCCAGAAAGTAGTATGTTATGGCACTTCCCCAGCTTCTCGAATGCCTTTTATGAGTGGCCATGGCTTATCAGTCTCTTTATTGTCTAGGTCGCACCTCGCTGAGTTCCAGCGCACGCACTCATGTGCCCTACTTTAGGTATTTTGGGCCAACAGCTATTGTCCCTGGATTCAAACAGATGGTTTGCATACATACTCCAAGATAATGCCCCGAGGTCGCATCGGTTAACGCCCCCTACAGGTCGTCCAGGTGCGAGGATCACGCAAGAGCAATCCGTCACTGTCATCAGGTCTGCACTCCTGACTATTTCACTTTCATTGGCTTCTGCAGGCGACTGGTTTGCGTTTTACCCGCAGGCCTGTCAAGTCTAGCGACACTCCCTTGCACGCCTAGCTAACCCATTGATACTTCTCAATGCAGAGTCTCTGTCTCCCCTTCGTAGTCCCAAATTCGCAGATGCAGGCATGAACAACGTCAGCACATTACCCGATACCAGAGACACCCGTGATTACAACAACATTCCGTTTTATGATCGCGATGATTCCCTTTCTGTCAGCAACTTGGTGATGCACCTATGTGATCTATTCTTCGTGCATCTCGGGTGCAGTTTTCCGTTCCTGCAGCGAGACAGGTTTCTGCGCGACCTGAAAGACAAAAGGGTAGACACCATGCTTGTGGACGCCGTCTGTGCATTGTCCGCAAGATTCTCCCCGCACCCACTGTTGAGTCCGCCTCAAGCTCCAACCATCGATGGCTCTGAGCCGCAGATCGATCTGAAAAAGTCCACTCGCGGGCAACCATTTGCCCACAGAGCCATGAGCGCCCTAGTTGATACCCTCTCGTGCCCTACGATTTCCGGAGTGCAAGCGTGTCTATTGCTTGCTTATGACGAGTTCGGCTCGAACCATGATAGTGGGCTTTGGATGTACCTAGGCATATCCATACGGATGGCCCAGGATCTGGGAATGCAGAAGGTTCAGGGCTTGGAGTATAATTATGGCCTGAGCGGGGTCACTCCAAATGCAGTAATGACTGGGCAGGCTGGCAAGTTGAGAGATGACCAGTATGATGAGCCTCAAATCTCCCCAGGGTCCGCCCGAGATATGCAAGACAGCGAAAGCCGACGAGCTCGGGAGCGTGAACGGGTTGACAGCTTCTGGAGTATCTTCTTCCTTGACCGAGTGATTTCATCCGGAACAGGCAGACCAGTGACCTTACGTGACGAGGACATAGAACTTTGCTTCCCACTCCAGTCCGAGTCCCGGTTGGCAAATGGATGGCCCGCACCATTTCCGCCGCTTATCCGTATTATCCACTTGTACGGAAGAGTGACGGATCTCATCAACGGCATACAAGATGTCAATCATGTAACATCGGATACACTGAAAATGCTGGCCGGCATGGAGAGTGATCTGACAGGTAGGGCCAAAACTCCACGACATTCATTGACAAAGAGCTAAGAATGATTTCCAGGAATATACCAGCGCCTGTCGCCTCGACTCCACTTCAATGCGGCAAATTTCCAGGCGTACGTCAAGGCGAAGGAAGGAACCAATTTTATCCTCCTTCACTTTGTAAGTTGCGCCCTCGAATGTCTTGTTTGCTCCAGGACTGACCTGAACGCAGTGGTTTCATACGCTGATCGTCCTACTTCACCAACCTACGCTTCTGAACTCTTTTGGGGGGACAATCCAACATCTTTATCCGAACAGCAGGGAGCTGTCGATGTCATCCGCTAAAACTATCGCCGATATACTGTCTTTCTCCGAGCTCGTAGACGGGAAAAGTTTTATCGGCAACCCTTTCACAAGCCAGCCAATGTACATTGCCGCATGTGCTTTCCTGATGGAGAGTGCTTATTATTCGTCACCCTCTTCAAGATCTGGCTCGCCCCCAACACAGCCATTGCTGGCAAACCAATCCAGTGGATTCGTGATGCCGAATATGGATTCTTCAAGTGGAACTGATCGGAAGCCGACCGCCAAACACATACTTCTTGCATCGGCCGCAAAGGAGAATTACCAACGGTGCTACAAAGCGTTAAAGGCGCTCGAGACGTATTGGGAGGGCACCAAATATATTCTTACGGTATTAGATCAAAAGGCCAAGGGAATAGTTGATCCGCTCCTGTATACGACTGAGGAGATGGAGAGTGCAGTCGAAGTGTCTGCTGTCCCACCCTTTACTGCGCCCCCTTGGCGGCGTACGCAACCCTCCTTGCCCGCTTCGGGCGAAGGAGAACGTCCAGCAGATGTCCATACGCATTCGGATGGAGCACGGTCGCCAAAGATTGACCCAAGTCAAGGTGAGCTCTTTCTTATTTATCTTCGAAAAGAAGGACGAGCTAATTCTTCTTAAGCTATTGGGTGGGCGTTGACGGGTGCAACCAATTCGTCTCAACCAAACCTGAGTCTTCTGTATCAGCTACCCGCCCAGGCCGAGCCCGTATCAGACAAGCCAACATACTCATCCCAGTATAGCCATAGCTACCCTCACCTTCCTGTACAATCTGGTGATAATCAAAACCCGAATTCTTATCCACAGCCGCTGGAGCCATCCAGAAATAGAGGGACTACGACAAGCACATCGATGGCACCCGGCCCGGAAAGATTCTCGCCTCTGGCATCCTCTGGACAAGTCACAACTTCTGACGCCAATTTGCTCCTTGGCTTAAATACTTCGTTCCCAAGTCCCGCCTCCCGACCCCCAAACACGCGACCAGCGTACAATCATCCTTCTTCTAGGTTTGAATCTGAGGCGCCGAGCTTTAACTATAGCTTACCCGCTGGCAGCGACCAGCAACCTGGGGACGGCCAGATGAACGCACGGACAGTTCTCCCCCCTGCTGTGGGCTCCCATGCAGGGGACATATTCATTCAGAGTCAAGACATTGACATGGCCACGCTTCAGCAACAAGATCAGCTCCCCTTTACTTTTACTGGAGAAATCCTTCCATGGCTGGAATATCTGCCGCAAGACGTTCTAAATTATTTTGGGGAGCATCAAAATTACCCTGCTCTGATGAGTCCTCATGATGAGACG